CACCTGGCCGTACCTGTGCTCCCCACTCTCACCTGGCCGTACCTGTGCTCCCCAGTCTCACCTGGCCGTACCTGTGCCCCCCGCGCCCTCTGGCGGTCCCGCACGGCAGCGCAGCCGCTCCGAGCACCTTCAGCACAACCGGGAGAGGGAAAGGAAACGGAGGCAGAGGCAGATCGTGCATTAGACAGAGCGGTTCTACATGGAAGGAACCCGCAGAACTCCCGGCAAACGCGGGTTTGAAGCTACCAGAGGCTTCCATGGATCTGTGCGAGGCCACTACAGCAGGAACAGGAGTACGGGAGTACCTCGAAAGCAGGTTTCTGAGCAGTATTGGTTAAAATTGCCCAAAGAGCTCCCTGCCACATGGAATTGCTCCCTGCTGGCCCCAGGATAACTGCACTGCCCCTGAACCCCAAGAGGCTCCTCGCTGTGCTCGGCATCCACGGGAAACAGCACCGGGTCACTCCAGAGCTCACGGCCAGACCTTGACTTGTGGCCTTCCAGCACTGTGTCAGCTTCCAACTGTGCTTCCAGAGCTCTGCAGAAACTCCTGAAAGCAGTGTCTGAGTGAAAAGAATTCCTCATAGCAAGGGATACTTGAAGTTTGCTGCCATCCAATCTGTAACTTAAAAACAAATAAACCAACATTCTTTTCATCCCCATTTGCCTTTTCATATCATTCTCACATTCTTCAGCAGGTTTTTCCCCATCCATTTTCCATGCACCATCCTTTAATCCATAAAGGACATCGAGAAGATTCACATCAATAATGGGAGCTGCAGTTCTGGGAATAGAGGAAGTGAGTTCATGTGATGCTGATTTACACTCTTTATTATCCTCTAAAACTTGCATCATCAGTGATGAACTTTCTTTTTCTCACCAGTTCCCAGGAGAAGGAGGCAATAGCAGTGAGGTGAGGAGTCCCAGTTCATCCACTGTGTTGGTTTCTTTGGTTCTTAGTTGAGGCAGAAGACATTTAACTACAACAGAACAACTTCATTTCTTCTTGGCACTCACTCGGCAAAAGGGGGTTGACAGCACAGAACTCTGATCCGGGGGGAGCAAGAAGGGACTCAGACTATCCCTCATTCCGATTGTCTTTTTAAAACTCTATTACTCCTTTTATTTGACATTAATCAGGAAAGGCTGCCTGCTGTAAGCAGACATTGCCCACATGAGACTCAGGGAACCATTACCTGACTCTGCAGGGGAGCAGCCACAGGAGGAGCTGGGGAGCACCCTCCTGTCTGCAGGACATTCCACACTGCTGGAATGCCAGAGCCAGTCACAGCTGTCTACTAGAGAAAAGAGAGAATGCAAGAATTCCTGAGCAAACCCCTGCCACCCTGCCTCCCACTCAGGTAAGGAGTCATCTGGATGAGTTCACAACCATTCCTCCAAATATGGGCCTCCAGTGGAGGCCCAGGAGCAGATCCCTGCCACAGCACAGTGCTGAAGTACAGCACATCAAACACTTGGGCACAGACATCACCTGTGTCCATCAACCCCAAATCCATGGCATTGTTGAAGGCACCCCTTGGAGGAGGGGTGTCCTCCCCCTTGGGAAGTGACCCATGTTTTGGAGTTCCTCCCAGGGGCACATTCAGTCACACACACACACACACGGTCCCACTCTCAGCACTCCCAGCACAAAGAAGGTTCCTCTTGTCCTTACACTGGATTGTCCCCATGCAGAGCAAAGCAGAGACCCCCAGAGAGATGTGTACAACTGCTCCAGGGCAAGGGCCTCAGCTGGGACTGAGCCAGCAACTGTCCCAGCACACCCTGGCTGCTCTCAGGAACTCTGAGCTGGCTCTACCTGGGCCACAGCTCCCAAATTTCCCACTCCTCATGAACACATGAAAAGCAGAAAGCAGAAGACAGACAACTCTTAAATTCGTTTAAACCAAGGCAGATCAGATGCCCCGTGGAAACCTTCCCTGCACAGCAGTCCCTGATGGCACTGATGTAATGGTGGTATCAACACTGATTTTACTGGCATCATTTCTTGCAGCAAATGTAAATAAAAAGTTATGGACTGTATTCCTACATGGTTGTGGGAGGTCATCAAAATCTCTTCTGATAGAGCCTGTTTGCCCGTTTTCTGTGAAATGCATTGCTCCCAACTCCCCCTGACAGTCTTTATTATGCCAAACTTCACAAAGCCCTCAGTGGGACAGAGCAGAGCTCACACATCCAAACTCTGAGGCTGCGGAGAGCATCAGTGACATTCTCTCAGTTACCAACAGATGCCTTGTTAATAAAACTTGCATATACAAATGTCCACAAAATGTCTTAACCAGATCAGTTGTGACAGCTAAAGATAACAGCTGCCATCGTGCTGTGTCATATCAAATCACTGCACAGAGCCCCTCTTCCACGTTGTCAACTCCAGAACGTTGACTACAAACAAACACAGTTATCTGCAGAGCAACTCCAAGTGCAAGAGATTTTGCACCACTCGTGCAGAAGAGCAGTGACTTTGAGGGCCAGATAGGAAAACAATTTGGAACAGCTGGAAATGATAATTGCAGTGGAACAGCAAAGCCAAACCCTGCTCCTGGAGTCAGCCAGAAGCCAAAGCACAGACCTACCTTAAGATACAGAAGCAGCTCTTGGCCCCAGAAGACAAGCGACAGAATCCAAACCTCTGCTTGCTGTCAATGTCTGTGAGCACAAATGTGAAGTTCTGCCCCACTTGGTTAACTGCATGGCTGGAACAGAGAGCAACAGGGAGTTAATGCTGAGCTAACTCTGTCAGGCAGCAAGTCATTGAACCTGTAACATTTCCTCTTTCAGCAGAGTTCTGTTGAGAAATTAACTTTGAGAGCACGCACCCTCTAGAACCTCAAACGTGCTGCTTGTTTGATGAGGGACGAGGGGGGGGGTTGTGGTTTGGGTTTTTTCCCATTTTTTTTAAGTGTGGGAGGAAACTAAAAATGCTAAATTTAACTTTAAATGAAAATGACTCTGACTATCAACCATCTTCCACAAAGGGCACACGGTACAAACCAACCCCACATTCTCTCATATGACCCAAAATATTTCTAATGACATGAAATTAACTTTGATTTCAGGTTATGTTCTAGGGCTTTTTAGGTTTACTGAGAACTGAGAAATCTGACTTGCACTGACATATGCAGCTTTACAAGTCACTTATACCAACTGCAACAAATATCCCATTAAATTCAAGGCCATTTAACTACCAGTCTCAGGCCTCAGAATATTCTCTTCTGTGATGTCATATACAATGCAATAAACAATTTCTGTGGGAGATTATACACTCAGTGCCAGGAGGAAACAAAAGAAAAACAGACTTTCTGAAGTAAAAGTTGGATCCAGATGGGAAAGATGTCATTGTCCAGCTTAGAAAAATCCTTCAGTGGATTCCAAACAAGGAAGGAAAAACATGCAGTGATGAAGATGGACAGAAAGACAGATGTCTAAAGCATCTCAGTAGTCTGAGAATTAGCCAATGGAAGTACAATCATCCTCCTGAAATCTAAATGTCAGCAGAGCAACCACTTCCATAAAGCACACTGAGCTGCTGGGGATACCCAAAAATCCCTCACTGGTGGTGTGTTTTATCTGTAAAGCTTGGATGTAATGTTACTATGGTGATTTTAGTATGCTGTTTTAAAAGGGGATTATATGCTTAATTTTAACAAGGTTGAGAGCAGAGTGTGTGTGAGAAATAGCACTTGAGCTGACAATTAAAATTATGGAACAGGGGGAAAACCATGTTTCATTACAGCAGGGAGAAGCTTGTTTATTAAACAACTGTGACGAGCTGGGGAGTTCCCCCAGAGCAAACCTAAAGAGTCCTGCATGGATGTGATCTGCAGAAACCAAAACTGGCCCACAGGTCCTGCCCAAGTGTCGGTGCCAGTCCTTCACAGGAAGGATAAACCTCCCAACGTGCACAGTGCCCTCCTCAGATCTGAATATCAACCCCTGGGACTCACAGCTCTGCTTCCAAATGGGCAGGAGGCCCATTCAGAGCCTCATGGGCTGGAAGCACCATCAGTCTCCTATCTGACTGGGCAGACACCAGTTAGGGCTGGAGGGAAGGGGACAGAAGGACAGGGATGTCTTTCCATGCCTCCTCTCCAGCTCTGTGTGACCAACACAGTCCTGGCAGGAGCAGGACTGAGGGGCAGCTCTGCCCTCCTGCAGCTGAGGAAGAGCCTCTGCCTTGATCCTGCCACCAAGGGAGCAGAAAACTCCTGCTCCAGTGCCTAAAGGAATGGGCAACAAGGCCCTGGGGATTGCTGCCCACTGGCCTCAACAGACACAAAGAGAATCCACAGGAAAGCAGTGAAGTGTCTGTGCCCCGAGAGCCAAAACCTCCAGGGCCAACAGTGGGCACTTGTACAGCCAGGAGAGCAGGAGCTGCCACAACCTCCACCTGGGGGGTCCTCTACCTTCTGCAGCACTGGAAGTCCACCCTGAATTTGAAATTATTAAGTATGTTACGGGTTACAAGCTCTCCTTTACGTTCAAGGAGTTGGCTTACAGTCTTTCAGTGACAGTCTGTGGTACTCAGACAAACAAGTGGATCCAGAAATGGGAATCACTTTTCATTATGTTCTCATTTGCACCCCATATGGGTTTTCAGTGTTCTTATCTTTCAAAATGTTATATTGCTGAGGAAAACCAAAAACAACAGAGCAAACAAAACCCCTAGGTACAATAAATCTACACACAGGAAGCATAAATATTTCTAGTAGAAACATATACATGAGGAAAATATATATGAGTATTTCCCTGCTCCCTCCCCTTAGGAAAGGAAAGAGATGAGCAGCAAAAGAGTGAGTCCAAATTCTAAAATGAGACAAACATTTCCAGCAGTCTAATCACAGTCCAGGTCAATTTGCTCAACCCAAACCATTCAGTGTCTCAGCTGACAAAGGAAAAGCATTCTGCCCAATTAAGTGATGTGAGCACTGGTGCATCCTTGCAAAATTTCAATTCTTGTTCCTTTCATGAAACCACCAAAAATAACTCACAGTAAAAGGAAAACTACAGAACTTGCAGAGTTTTCTAAATTACAACAATTAAATATTCTCAGATCTTCTGACATTCACTGTCAGACATTCACCCCCAAAGCACCAGCACTCCAGCAAGAGCATGAGGCCTTTAAATGCAAAGCATTTAATTCACTGCTCCACCCAAATTTTGGCAATGAAGAAATGAAACACATGAGCACACAAAGCTTTGATATTAATATGCACATTTGACAATTGCTACCTAAGCATTCTCAGCAGAAGTAACACCAAACACTCTCATAGTGCTGCCACTGAACAACTCTAACTTTTAAAACTTCTTTTTTTTTGATGGTGCCCATAAAAATTCCAGGAAAAAGTGATTCTAGGACTATAATTTGCACTCGGGTGCTCTGAGTCCCAGTCACACAGACAGAGCATTATGAATGGAATGGGTTTTATTTTCTACAGGGGTTTTATTGACAAGCTTATTTTCTTGTAAAGTTTGAAAAGCTAACAATACCTGTCCACATAGAAGGGGAAACAAAACTTGGTCAAAGTCTGTAGAACTTCCTGTGGAGAGAAAAAAAAAAGAGATAATTTATACATCTACTGGGACCAATAAATCTAATATTAACCACATCACACAATTTCACAACTTTGCCCTGAAGAAACAAGAGACAGATGAAGAAATATGGGCTTTATCAATTACATGGAAGGAGTACCAGGCAGTCAATCATGTGAAATAATAAACATGATCAAACTTCATTAAAAATGAAAAATTAATCAAGATTCACACATGGGCAGGCAGCAGGAGCCATCCAGCAATTCTCCAAAGAGGAGGAGGAGGTTGGGTTGTTGAGTGTTAACACCTCTCTGGGGACAATCCCTGCCCTGACCATATGGATCGGAGTGAATAACACCAAACCACATGGGCCTGGCCTGGCAGGACCACTTCTGCTGGCACAGCTTTTGACTGTTACCTAGGAACAGAGGTCTGGGGATTAGAGAACACTTCCTAACATCAGCAAGATAAATAACAAAAGAAGAAGCCAATAGGTCTCATAGCAGGAATGTTTAACGCTCCCTACTGCTATTAAAAAGAAAATCTGAGCGTTGAAACACTGGCTAAAATAATGTGTATTAAAATTAATACAGATTTTTAAACCCACAAACCATTTTCTACAAGTTGCAAAACAGCACCTCAAACGGGGAAACCTTTAAGCACAGCCTTTGCAGGAGAGCAAAGAAAAGGATGAATATGAAAAGTGAAAACACGACCAGCAGATAAATTAATAATTTTCAATTTTACAACATTAAACAGAGACAATCACCAAAGAGGCAATCCCTGAAATGTTAGTCCCAAAACAGTTGTGTTCATAGACAAAAGCAATCCATTAGATCATTCTATATAATCCAAAATTTGAATTCTGCAACCCACAACCCCCCATTAAAGGTCTCCCAGTTTGCAGATCTTTCCTACAGCCAATTCATTGCTCATTCTCCTTCACACTTAAATATTTCAGGCCCTGAAGTGTAAATTCTATTTCTGCTTTCAGCTAAACAGGATAACCCTGAACAAACAACAACCCCCCTAATAAATTCAACCCTTTTCTGACCAGCAGCAATAAATTATCATCAATGACTAAATAGATGCTTCTCGCTTCATTTATTTCTAAACCAAACGCCACCGTTCCCAAATAAACTCCATCAATCTAATCACCCCTTCAGTGAAGCACAAAACATATTGACTCCCTTGCAGGAACATGTTCCTCCTGCATAATTCACAGCAGCACAGCCCAGCCTTAGCCCTGGTTTCAGGCTCAACTCCTCACTCTCTTCTTTGGAGGTTTCTTGACAACTAAAATGTGGCAAGTTCTGAAGGTTTCAGGCAGAAACAGATATGGAAACTTTGACTTCTTGACAGTTTATTGATAGATTATTTAACAACCTCCTGTTTTTAAAGAACAAGAAAGGGTCTATTGAAGGAAGCCGTGTAGAGCAAAGGCGTCCCCTGCTTTGAACTGCACAGCAAACTTGGGCAGGAGTTATGTAGATTCAGAGGAAACTCTGCAGAAATCTGGATTTCGACCCAAAATAATGCCTTGATAGCCAAGATCTCATTAATGAGAGTGGGCTCCCCCACTGCAGAACCTCACTGCCTTCCCCAGGCTGAAAACTCAACTGCTCACCCACAAAACCTGCACCCCGACCAACTTTAACCCCTGCACAGTTGTTCTTCAGCACAGCTGAAATCTCACTGCACAAAGCGCTAAAAAACAAATAAAAAACCCTCAAAAGAATCCTATGATCATCAAAATTATAACTGCAGGAGGGCAAAGTGCCTATATTTTTATTGTCCTCAAAATAATGGCTGTGTACCTATTTTTTTATAAACAAATCGTGTAGATGCATCAAATTCTGAAATAAAACAGCATTAAAAGGTAACGAGCCATCAGTCACCTCAAAATGGCAGAATACATTCTCTCTGTTATTTTGATGATCTACATAATTCCTGTAACTGCAAGTAAAACCATTCCCACAATAAAACATCCAGCATCTCATCAGCATTGTGTTACTGGAGCAGTGCAAGACTTAAAACTTACTTTGCACTTGTTTCTTGATATTCCCAGTTTACTAAACACAGCAAATGAAATTTTCCCTTAAAGAGGCAATATATTGAATATATTGGATCTGTACCACTCTACACTGCCTTCTCTTTTAAAGAAAGATTTTACACTGACATTATTATCTGGCTTTTGTAATGTCATTGGACATAATCTGCCATTCATTAGACACCGACACTTATCTGCCTGGAATCACAACTAAAAAAATTGAGACTGGCACAGGTTAACCACAGGCTTATTTTTAAATTGTAACTCTCTAAAAAAATTCAAAACTCATATGCAGAATTAGTTTTTAATTAGCAAAACTGCTGATGTTTTGGACGTAAGAAGTACAATTACTGGGGAACTATCCCGTTTTTGCTCAAGCTGCAAGCTCGTTACCCTAAATATAACGCTGCTTTTTTTCTTTTTAATTCTTTAAATACTCCTCAGTTTGAAAGATAAGCAATACCTACATCATACACAACTTCCCACTCGACCTCTTTAGGTGGGTGGTTACTTATGACCTAGAAAAACCACCATTTCTTTATGATTTCCAACAAAACCCATCACAAGCCCAAACCCAGAATTGCTCCATGTCAGCACCTTATAATCTCTTTCATGTTTTTATTACCCAGCACGAAACACAGAGGAAGCATCAACAGCCTGTTTTCTTATTTTATTCCCTCATGCCTATTTTCTTAAAGACACACAAATGCCTGTAAACGAAACCCCCAAGAAGAAGAAGAGAAGCCCCCAGCAATCCAGGCCGGGCAGCTGATGGGAGTGGAACCCCGGGAGCCACCCCGGGTCCCCAGGGCACCCCCGCCAGGCTTGGGGATCGATCCCCAAGTTTATCCTTCGCCCCTTCCTTTCCCCTGCAGTTGGATCTGTCCCATTTAATGAGCAGCAATGCCTCCCCAGCAGGCAGTGCCCGCAGTCGAGGGCAGGGCAGAGCCGTGTCCCGGGGGGATGGCTCAGGGCTGCAGGACAGGCACCACCTGGCTCCCCATCCAGCCTTCCAGCTCCTTTCATAATCCGAGCACTGCTGACATTAGAAACCCCACGTGGCTCTTCTAAAATCCTCCCCAATCAATACAGGCAGTACATAACTTATCACAGACAGCCCCGAGCTCATTGATTAAGTTCGGGTTCTGCAGCAAAGTTCCCCAAACAAACGAGGCTGTGCTCAGCCCTTTGTGTCACCCTGGAGCTCCTACACACCCAGGAGAGGGGCTGGGGAGCGCCTGGGAACACACACAACACACACTGGGCTTGTGTCCCAAACCATCTATTGACATGGAACCCTAGGAAAGCTCAACAATGCTGGAAAACGGGCATATGCACTGCTGTATTTAATATGCAAGTGTAGCTTAAATCCTGCTTATTTTTAAACCTTTCACCGTATGCTCCCACTTCCAAATCAGCAGAACAACTTCAGATTCTCTTAAATATAACTCTTTATTCCTCCTGTTCAAATGAACATCGGGAACAGATATCCCCTGTGCAGCCACAACTAAATAAAAGTGCCCTGATAAATGATGTGCAAACGGCTGGGCTGGAGAAGGGGCTGCTGCAAAGCATCTCCTCTTACAAAGAGACACCAGACATGCACAGGGAACAGGAAGTGTAAGAGGAAGCTGGACAGAAAAAAAATTAAAATACAGGCAGAGATCTGTGAAAAACAAGGAATGATTAAGGCAAGACACTCAAATATGGATGTGAGTCAGAGCAGGGAAAGAACACGCCACACAGACCAACAGGTTGGGAACCTGTATTTGGAAGCCTATTGGGAAACCTGAGGAAAATCTGGATGAAATGGAAAAGAGTACCCAGAGTACAGACTGGGCCTGGAGCTGTGGATCATGGAGGGAGGGGGAAGGAAGCAACCCCCAAACCCCACAACTGTGTGTTACAGGAGAGGGGAGCACAGCAAAGAGCAGGAGTTTTCCATGGAGAGAGGAGGTGGCTCTGTGATGAAAAAGGTGGATGCTCTTTTATTCCCTCGGCCTTAAAGCAGAGGTGAAGTACAGCTGAGGCTGCTGAAAGTGAAACACTAAACAGAGAGGGTGGAAACACAGTTTTCATCTTATCCAGCCTGAAAGAGCATCTGAATCCAGGAAACAAGCGTGGAACCCTCCCTCTTCCGTGGAGGGACACCAAGAGAGTTCCCACATGCCAACAGAAGGATGGAGAACGGAGGAGAAACTGGAGAACAAGGAGAGAGGAACAACCAGCCTGCTGGGATCAGGGAATGTAAGAACAGGGAACAGGATACCGACTTGACCAGCGAGAAACTACAGGTGATTTTATTCCTCCTCTGAAAAACAACAAATTTAAACCCTACAAAAATGTTAATGTAGCATTAAAAAGTGCTAAGACATCAACTGAAGCAAAACATTGCCCAGTTAAATTTGGGTTGTACCTTAATCTGTCTTACACCCATAGAATTGTAAACTGCTCTTAGATTTAGTTCATCTTTTTGAATCATTTAAGCCAACGATTAATTAAATCATCACTGCAAGGGAATAACAGATTTAAGAATTCAAAAATGTTGTCATATAACCAACTTAAACCTGACAACAATTCTGTTTAAAGCCCAAAGGGTGGTGAAAGCAGAGGTACAGAACCATGCAGAACAGCACCAGTTCTGTGGGCCGGGCAGGGCTGGTCAGACATTCCCAGACATTTTCCTAGGAAAGGGAACAGCTTTCTGCACAACAGCAACCACCTCAGTAACAACAGGATAACTTCAAACATTTCACAAAGCAACTGCTCAAAATTTTACTTATAAAATGTAAACAGAAGAAATCAATGCTGGCAAAGAAAATTCCACCTCTGTAACTCACCCACAGCTCAGAGTGACAAACGGGGATCATTCCAGCTCCTCTTCTGGAAATTTAAACTTGGATTTGCATTTATTATTGGTGCCAGTTTATATTACCTCACATCAAATTTCCCCAAAGT